ATGGGGCGGTATCCACGGATATTCTCTGGTCCGGCAATCTCTGGTCTGGTGTCCTTTGGATGAAAGAAAAGGCTCCTGCATTAAAACTCGAGAAATCCATTCCGGGTATCACAGGGGGCGTCTTGATGGCAATGTCCACTACGGGGCTTAACGGTTCTCTTCCGGTCCTGGGTCTTTCGTTCTCCTGGCCTGGTATACCAACCTCGGGCTGCTGAACATCACGAGATCCCTCCTCATGATAGCAGGCGTGGTGATTGCACATACACCATTGGGATTGATCCGGTACAAGATTGCCAGTTGGGCAACGACTCCAGAACCTCCGGCATCCACATCGGGCTCCATTGGCACCAGGATTTAGGTCCACGAAACCGCAAGCTCCTCCTGGCAAGCTGGGAGTCGGCGCCCTTATCGCGACAGCATCTGTGTATATATCGAAGGCATTTGGGGCGAAGTGAGACGGGTCGAACGGGGTCGTTGCCATTGGAAGCTACACGCGCTCATGTCGCGAGGTTGGGATCGAAAGCTAATGTGTAGATAGACTCCGGAGCCTTCGATGATTGAGGTCCAGGGTTGGGAGGAAACGCTATATAAGAGAAATATATATGGTATGGCAATTGGTCGCTGACAGCCGTGATGATGTGTCAAGGGCCGCAACCAGGCCCAACTGGACAGGGTCGCAGGCAAATCAGCCGCCTAATTTCAATTCATCGCACTATAAGATCAATTAGAAGAGCTGTCCAGGTCGTCGAGGTTGAAAAATATCCAGGCGCAATCTATAAAACCCGGGCGAGGAAATGGAACAGAATCCCAAGGCATGGATGAGACTGACCAAAGCGCGAACAGAGGAGGGAAAGCACACGAGCGCAGATGAGGGAACAGCGCAATATATACGATGGAAGCTCAGGAGACGATGAGAAATCGCAGGCGAACGGGGGGGAGTGGGCGAGAAGCACAGTCGCAAGAGCACGAGGCACAAGATGGAGGGGACTCGAAATGTCTGCCTGCCTATGGAGGAGGGAACAGGGCGAACAAGGCGATTGCTTTTCGAGTGGTTCACGAGATGAGATAGGACAAGAGGGGACGGGGATAGGGAATCATATTCCCCCACAGCAAGACACGCCTCGACGGTGGACACGCGCGAATCCTGTTGATGCGCTATTGCCATAAACGGTAAGTAATCATAGCTGCCTTTACAGTGGAAAATAGACCAGAAATACAATACATCCAACACAACTCAATCGCTCCAATCATGAGCAAAAATAATGAGTTCAAGCTTCGTAGTAAGGGAATTAATTCAGCTTTACCGGCCAGATATTCTTTTAGGTTTTAATAACGATAACCGTTGAAGAACACGAAGCTTCACATCTGCCTCTAACGTCGTCTTGGTTAAAATGCAAGGGAGACACGAAACTTGTTAAAGCGGCACCACTTGTCTCAGAGCGCGCTCCTCGCCAAGTCACTTTCAGAGCTGCCTCTCTTTTGACCCCGCCTAATTAAGTGCTCCCGCCAGTGCACGCTCACTAACAGTGACAAAAGCACAAGGAAGCGCTTCGAGATAAGGATTTTCTAGCCAATAGGGTATTTCCTCACTTGACGAGTCCCGCCTTGCTACGGGAGCGAACGGCGCCTCCCTCTTCTCCCCGTTGGTCTAATTTGAGTCAAATGAACGGTTGGACAATGTGCTCCAGAAAGGAAAAACTCAGTAGTCAAAACACAGTATATCTTGAGGAAAAGGAGTCATAATTGTCAGAACTTTTGATTGAAGAACCATCCTAGGCCCGTTACTGCGTGTGAATGATACGCAGTTCAGGACTTACACCACTTGCAAAGAACCCCTCTGGACTCAGGTACAGGTTGGAGCTGTGTTCACAAAAAATAATACACCCCGTGCAAAGAATTAAAGATGCCTCATTGAGGCAAATTTCGCACGAGGCTGAAAATTCAATTGGCTCTCAGCCTCTCCTGATATTACTTTCTTTTCAAGATTGACGTGATTGTCATGTCCCATTGCGTTCTGATCTCGACTCGTTCAGTGAGGCGATGACTGGGCCCTTCGCCTCGATTAATGGCTGGCTGTGCAACACACCAGAACATTTAGTGACAAAGAAAATACATTCATAGTGAACCAGCATTAGGACGATGGAAGGCAGTTTGTCTGTAAAAGAATGAAGGAATGGTTTGTTTTTTTTTTTTCTTTTTTCGTTTGAAGTGAGTAGGTATTGGGGACCTGCCCAAGGACAAGTCCGTAAAATCATAAAATAAAACTCTATCATGTCCCAGAAAAACTCCAACCATCATCTTTGAATAATTTTCAATAGTGGTGATTTCCTTCGTTTAGAACTTACATCATGTAGTTAGCCTGTAACTGGGCAAATGCTCATTATACTCCTGATGCGACCGTTATAATGCGCCCTTCGTAGCTCATGCGTCAACATCTGTCACACTTTCATCTTCACATACATCAGTTATCGTCACACTTCGCCCCAGCTACCCATCGGACCGTTAGACGCGATTACAGAGCCTGTACCCAGAGATCCACCTATGTCCCAGTAATGTCGAGATGAGACACTACTACGGCGAGCGGATCGTCTGGTGCTCTGACTCGCGCAGCTACTCGGATGCCGAATTGCCACTGGACTTCCGGGCGTTGTAGCTTTGAAAGTTCGGCGTTCGGCGGGAGGTCGCATGCGTGAAACCAGCGGGTGGTGTTGACGGACGCGTGCCAGCTTTGCGGCTGTGTCTTGGCTATTCGACGTAGCCAGATGAGCTGGTGTTGATGGAGCCGGATTGCTGCTTCGTGGCATGAAACGAGAGCGTAGATATCTGAACACCAGTTTCATATCAAGATCTTTCTCCCATTCTTCCTGAGTGAAAGTGTTGCTCATAGGAGTGTCTTGTCGTGATGTTTGTGTTGTTTCGGCCGATGGTTCAGATCTGCCATGAATGTTGATGGGTTGTGATGATGTCTGGATTGTTGGTTTGAACTGTGGGAATGACGCGTGTTCGGGTTCTGTTGGTCGAATGTTGTCTGTGGCGGAATGAGACGAGTTTGACTCTGGGATGATTGGAAGGCCAGCGTAGGGGAGAGGCATCTGCTGGACTCGTGTATAGGTTGAGAATGCGCCAGGATGGTGCGAAATATGGCTGACAAGGGAACCAAGCTCCCTTGACATCCTCTCCAGCATGTCCAACTGCCACTCCTCTCTAGAGGCAAAGTGTCGCGACTCCCACGCCAAGGTTTGGGAGGCGCGGGGTGTTGACGATAGATCTTCATCATCTTCAATTACCGTTTCTCCTAAGAACACTGAAATCGATCGTTCGTCCATTCCCACTACATCTCGCAAGAATCGTCTGGTGACTTTAGAAAAGAACCCCTCTGAATCTGATGATGTTCCAATAGCATCCTCATCGTGCCATGTCATGTTGTCTGATTCTCCATCATACGCAAGGGCCGACGGTACAGAAGGCACATTGGAGGACGGACGTTTCTGAATAGATGCCTGCGAAAGTCGTCTCCTCCTTGTCTCGCGCTGAATCTCACCTAGCAATACTCGACTGTGTTCCAGTCGCCAAGCTTCGATTCTTTGGCGCTTCTCTGCCTCATGAACCTGGTCGTGTTCTACATCGAGCTGCCGCAGATCAAAACTCTCTCTTCGCTGATACTGCCGTCTGGGATTGAATCGTTCGAATTGGTAGATGTGATCTTGTGCTTCGGCCCCCAAGGTGGGCTGGTCAAGGTGGAAGGATCCCAGACCATCGTGGCCGGGAAACACTGGCCCAGATCCCTGCTGTTCGTCTTGTGGCTGATGCTGCACTGCAGATATTGAGCGAAAGCCAGGCAAGTGGCCATCTAGACTATCTAGTTCGGCATCATCCTCTTCATCAAGACCAGATGCTGAGGCAGATTGGCGTGACTCAGCCTCCGATTTCGCAGCCGAGTTCAAGCTGCCCAGATCCCCTACTCGCGATCTCCCAGGAGTTTTCAACGAGTGATCCGTTTCGGTGAGATATGATGTTGTTGTCACGTCAGTGGGCGCGAAGAGCACCCATGTCTGCGACTGTTCTGGTTCACGTTCTTGGGTAATTGGCACCTCTCTCCGGGGGATCTCTTGCTCGTCAACAGGAGCCCGTACGACGCGCTGGACCGACTGTCGAGTCGGCTGATGGAAAGCCATGATTGTTACGCTCGTTGTAACTGTCGTGAAGCGACGATGTTGGCGCCGATAAGGAAATGGCGGACAAGATAAGATGCGTTGATGATGGAAGTGGACCCCCTAGATAACTGTATCCGCCTGTGTCGGGGGGCTGGCGGAGCTGGAGGTGATATGCGGTAAAGTGGAACAAAGCAAGTAGTATATGGATTTGGATACTCGCGGTTGACGACCTCGAGCAGTCCAAGCAGTGAAAAAGATGAAGGTATGAAGTAAAAGACAAGAAGATTCGAAAAACAAGGATGTTGGGGGAAGAAAGGGTTTGTAGTATCACTAAGAGATAGGGAGAAGAGAGGCGGGAGGATTGCAGATGGAACCTTTGGAGGGGCCAGTCAAGCACCTCAGCGCAAAGCGAACTGCACCAAAGGAAGCTAGGCCAGTATCCGTACCTTAGAGGGATGCTACGCTCATGGGCGTCATCTAGACGCTGTAGTCGGGGGTTGATCGGCGGGTGGGGGGGAGACGCTCGCGTGTTCACTTGTCCATCCATCCGCCGTAGCCAGTGAAGCTCAGCTGCCTTTTAGACAGAGAGAAACAAACATGTGCAGTACCCGGAAAGACGGGTAGAAAGTACCACTGCATAATGCTGGGTATCGAATGTTAAGAGTTGAGACGTCTTAAAACTATGCGTTCCCACTCAACAGAGTCCACCCGCATGAGTCGCGAGACGCGGATGGATAAGACAAACCCAAGGCCGCATTAAGACATACAACCCTGATTCTAGCTCTGGCTCTTCTGACGTGGACAGGCGTAGCAATCTTGTTAACGAAGCCCGAACAAACATCCATGATGGAATTTCGGGCCTGCTTATCACTTCATGCCGTGCTGACCGATATTTCAACCGCAGCCGTAAGTTGAAATGTCTAATAAGAAGTCGTACGGTTAATAAACGATTGTTACATTCTTCGAGAAGGAAAAAGGGCCCGGCACATATCCACAGCCAAGATCAGATGCAGGGTGATAAGTTGCTGTCCATCAAAGACAGATCTGAGGTACCTATGAGCTATAGGTACCTAGTCTGCCCGTTGTCCCGCCCAAGGTGACACAGCCGCAGGTGAGGTGCCTTCATGATCCCCCAGGTCCTCACATTCCATTTGTCCAATGCCAGCTTTAGCCAGCCACTTCTCATCTCATACTGCATCTGACTGTGCTAATGGATGCTACTAAACCCGACCTAAAGGAACAGCGCCACACGATAGACACCGACTATCAAGTCTCTCGCTACAACTGAACCAGCCTAGGTACCAAGTAATTTTCACAAAGAAAGAACATACAAGTCCCCAAGCGATGATTAAAGGGCTCCTCACCTCATACAACCTTACGATTCATGTTTCTTCGGCCTAACCAACGGGGCTCCCGCTCGTCCAACGATAACCCCTGGTGTCTTCTGTCAGACTGAGGAAAAAAGGCGTGCGCTACCTGTGACCTTCATGGCGTCAGAAATCACCCAAGTGAAGTCATGTGGTCCGAATCCAAGCGTAGCCATATTACGAGACTGCCCCAACAAGACATTGATGAATGTCTCTGCCAACACTCTTGAAGTACAGTCTTCGATATGCACAATCCCAAGTACCTTGGAATGAGATATAATAAGCAACAAGAAATGGTAGTATTCCTCCTGCATCAAGATTCCCCCAAAGGTAAGCGGGAGTACACCACCATAGTCGGTAGAGAGGTACGAGTGGGGATGCCGACAACACAACCCGCCAATCACCAAGCCAAAACGTGAGAGGAATGCCAGGCTTGAGCTGATCGATAAGCAACTGTCTGACTACGGCAAGCCAAGAAGTGCATGACTTAGAGATCGAGAGGCACATTTCACAGTGTTACGGATCTTAGAAAATCATATCCCGTGCTTAGATAGACCTATCACACTACCTAGTCAAAGTCAGAAATTCTTTGAATGATATCATCAATGATGAGGTGCACGATGAGGGAACACAATTCTGAATGCAAGATTTCAATTTGCCTAACCGGCACCTTTCAACTAGTAGAGTATCGAGAGGTCCTTATTTGACAAGCCATTTTGACGCCAGAAAACCCAGATTCCATCCTGTCCATCATTTCTTTAAGCCTCAGACTTGAAAGCATCGGGGAAGCGGCGGATGTTGCGCTCCAGAGAACCGTGGTTGGAAAGGAACTGGACGTAAGCACCGTCGACCTTGACGCGGCCAGCAGCTTTCTTGTCGAGGTACTCCTCACGTCGGAGAGGGGTGAAGCCCCAGTTCTTGGAGACAATGATCTTTTGTCGGCCAGGGAACTTGTACTGGGATCGTCGGAGAGCCTCGAGGGCGATGGCACGGTCTGGTGGTTGATTAGTAAGATGGTTCAGGGTGGCAAACCGGATTACACATACTGGCATCACGAGTGCGGACGCTCATGAGAATCTGGCCAATGTTGACACGGGCGACAGTGCCGTTGGGCTTACCCCAGGCACCACGCATACCGGTCTGCAGTCTATCGGCACCGGCACAAGACAACATCTTGTTGATACGGACGACGTGGAAGGGGTGGGCGCGGACTCGGAGGTGGAAACCCTCCTTACCGGTGTTCTTGACGAGGTACTTGTTGGCGCAAATACGGGCGGCCTCGAGGGCCTCGGAGCTCAGCTGCTCATACTCGTTGGAAACGAGGTGAATGCAGAGAGGGAAGTCGTCAACATTGGCGCGCTTTCGGCCAAGATCGAAGATTCGGATCTTGGGGTCGGGGACACCACGGTTGAACCGAGACTTGGGGTACGGCTGGAAGAGGAGTCAGTATGATATGATCTTGAGAAGTTGGTGATTCATAATCAGAGAGACCACCCCGCAGAAGCACGGCGCTGGATATTTCGTGACGGAAATGAACCAGCGAGGTCAAAATCACAATATTTCTGGAGATGATTCTAATGAAGAAAAACTCACCTTGTTCTTGCAGTACCGGTAGCAACGAGCAGGACGGCGCGCCATTTTGTCGGAGGTTTTGATGGATATCCGGGGTTGATGGTGTTGGTGTAGGAGAGAGCAGAGCTGCACACAAAGAATGTCCCAAACAGCCTTTGTCGCAATGTCTGCTAATTTGTCAGCGAATGAGGTCAGCGGGTAAATATCGGCTTAGGGCTCTGAACGACAGGAACGTATCGGGCTTAGCGCACTCCACGCACTTGCCTTTCAAAAACCCATGCAACTTTTTCTTCACACATTCAGCTTCCATCAACGAACGTCAAGTCACCGCCAACCCGTCGCCCAACAGTCACAATGGCCCCCCAGAAGAAGAGCAAGAAGGATGCCAACAGCATCAACTCTAAGTTGGCGCTTGTTATGAAGTCTGGAAAGGGTATGCGCAGAGTCCCGAGATACGATCAAAAACGAACTTTGGACTGACAAATTTTGCAGTCACTCTTGGCTACAAGTCTACCCTCAAGAGCCTCCGATCCGGCAAGGCCAAGCTCATCATCATTGCTGGCAACACTCCTCCTCTCCGCAAGTCTGAGCTTGAGTACTACAGCATGCTGTCCAAGGCCCCCATCCACCACTTCTCTGGCAACAACGTAAGTCCCAAATCGCTAGGTCTCTTTACAAATACCGTCATGTTGCGGGAAACTGCAACATGATCCTTCTCGGAAATGTTGGCTTGCTTGACAACATTTCTTGGTCCCAAGAACTTGAGTTCTTGCGGCCTACCCAGAGAAGAAGTCATCCGACTTTGGAGGGTTCATAGGCTTACACGTCCCTCCACAGATTGAGCTCGGTACCGCCTGCGGTAAGCTCTTCCGTTGCTCCACCATGGCCATCCTTGACGCTGGTGACTCCGACATCCTCAGCGACCAGCAGGCTTAAGTGTCTCGCTGATAGAGAATGTATTTTATGGCGTTTGGGGTAAAATGGGTCCAGGGCATTTGAGGATATACCAATCTGAGTAATGAAAAAGCGAAAACTCGTATTGAGAACATGCGATGCAAGAAAGCAGGCAGTTCTCCCCTTGACCTATGTGTCTTGGGCTTCGTTGGACTTGGTATTGATTACCAGTTCAAGCCAATAAAAAATAAAGCTCATGAACATTGTTCCCCGCCAATATTTGTCTTGTCCCTGTGATTGTAACATTAGCTGTCATGCAATTGGATTTGTTAATGCCGCGCTCAGTGTTGCAAAAAAAAAGAGCACTAGTGTACGAAGTCTGTCATCCCGTTGTCAAGGACTCAATACGGAAGCACTCCTCTTCGCCTGTACATATATTTATATCTACTCTTTCGTTGCTCATTATTCTTACCTGAACAAGGTTTCCTAGTTCTTAAGTCAACATGTAATCTTTGTGTCATCCCTGCTCTAGATGCATTAAACCTTCGATGGTAGGATTGCACGGGTTGTTGAGGAGCAACAAGTTGCTGGGAACGCATGACTTTACCAACTTCAAGAGCCACTCAGTTAATTGTAACTCACAAGGTTCAGGCCTCGGACCTGCAGTGACCACACTAACTTTGTGTTGCGATCAGGATTCGAAAGCTCGGGTTAGCTGGCTGTGAGTCAACCACTACGTGGCATACATATAACATGATCAATTTTGGAACATATGCTCTGACGCGGCTCCTATCACTTGCTTCCTGTTGCTCATTCCTGAGCCACTCAAGTGATACATTGACTGGTAATTTATCCAAAACTCAATTGCCAATCTCCCAGTACAATTCTTCCTAATTTCCAGGCGCATCATTAAAGGCACGTTGCCAGAGGCCATGCACATTACGCATGGATCAAGTATGGCCCTGTTGTTTGCGGGAAAACCTCCAGGCACAAGCAAATGTCCCCAATTCCTTCTGGGGAAGATCCGTGGCATTCATTCATAAAAGGGCCCATATAAGGAGCTGTTCCACTCATTGACACGACAGAATAACATTGAACAGCCACACATTACCTCTTACGACGCTACCGCGCCAGCAGTGTTACGGATATAGATTGGCTGCTACAGTATGAGTAAATAATTAAGATTAATTAATGGCTATATGTACATGTGTACCTCGAAACCTTCCTCATGCTCCATACCTTAGGTAAACCATAATAGAGGGAGGGCTGTTGGCAATAGAGTGTGAGTCCCTGCATATCAGGCCAGCCAACACCCGCCAAATCCTTTATCCTCGACTGGCAAGTTTTGCAGCTTCGTCCCTCAAAATCTGCACAACATTCACGTTTCTGCAACAAACCCCAAACTGAAGTCGTTTCTTGAGACTCATCGCTATCAATACAATTATACAGTATGGCACAGTATTTCCTGGCCTGGCGTAGCCTCCACTGTTTCAGCAGTTGAATGCTTGGATGCCCCAGAAATATCGACCTTCTGGACGCCGACGCCACACGCTAAAGTGCAGGCCCCTACCCCGTACCTGGCAACGTCCCTTCTGAGGCGCAGACGGACTGTCCATTACTGTATTGGACAGACGAGACACACTCCTATTTCAGCTTCGACCCTTCTTGTTGGGTTTATTTTCTTTGAATACGTTCCAGATCACCGGGCGAACGTGCAACACAATCGGCCGCAAGCAGAAGACACTACCGCAGATTTAAGCCGTACAATATCTATACTCGACCTCGAACAACCTGGTGTTGCTCTCGCTCCCTTGAGACACCGCCAACTCTTCTTACGCTACATCGCTAAAAGCATACGACCCAACACAGCCCAACCAAACAAAACAATATGTCCGCTGCTACAAAGAAGCCTCCGGCGGGTGGTGTTGGCCGAGTTTCTCATACCGAATCTAATTCTTCAACAAGTCCTTCTCCCTCACGTTCCAACTCTCGATCTACTACTCCTACCAGCAATGGCCATACCCGCACTCGATCGCTACGAACAACTGCGCCTGTGTCGGCCCGTGCTGCTATTGCCAGAAGGGATACTCTGAGTGCTGCTGAATCGGACGCTCGAGCCGAAGCTGCTGCTGCCGTTGAAGATCTTCAGAAGCGCCTAGAGAATGAGGAGAAGTCTTCCCTTCAATACAAGCGTCAGGTCGAGGTTCTCCAGTCCAAACTCGATGAGGCGGTCAAGGAGTCGGCGAAGTTGGAGGAGAAAGCGCACGAATACGAAGAACAAATTGAGACTCTGAGTAACGAGAAGAGGGAGATGACTCGTCAGATGCGTGAGATGGAGTCCATTTACGAAGCGGAACGCAGTTCGATTCTTAAAGAGAAGGAAGAAATGGCCAGCCGAGAAGAGGAGATGCAGGCCATGATCCAGCGGCTCAAGGACAGCCTTGCCCAGCGAAAC